AACACACTGACTGGGAGGTTATTACTCTATGTTCTGTAATTTCAAAATATGATTTCTAAAGAGCATATATCATGCTCAATTCAGAGAAGTGAACTATGTATTTTAACTCAATTCCCAGGAACTTGCAGGAAAAAATAGAATTATGCTTATTATCTTTTTGTCCTCCTCTTTTGACAAATAATTCTTCCATTTTTCAACCCCCAAGTGAAGAAAACGAATGTACAAATTCCATTGCTATGAAACAATTTACCAGAAGTCTTCATCTTCTTACCATTTTCTAGGGAAGAAGAAATTGGACTTTAGACCCAATCTTAAAACATACATATGCTGATACTGCCCTACTGTGAAGTCCTATTTAAAATATTCACCAGAAACTCTGTGACCATCCTCATTAGATAAAATTTTACATGTTATCAAAATCCTCAAACTTTAGAAGCTTTAACATTTAACTACCTTAAATATTTATAATATGTCTGATTTATGCTTAATTGTTTGCAGTATTAAAATTTATATTTATCTTCTGAATTAAAGAAGCACCTGTTACATGAACAAGACCTAATATATAAAGAATGAAAAGTGAACTGAGTGGGTTTTATTATCAATTTTTTTGTATCTTATTTTATGAAAGTTCATGGTTCACTTCCATCAATGATTCCTCCACAACTAGGAAATACTGTAAATTTCTTACTTATGAACTTTCAAATATTCACCAGGGCAAACACACACACACAGACAAGACCCTCACACAACACTAAAGAAACAAAAAACAAAAACAAGACTTCACAGCTAATTAACTGTTTTCTGCCATCAGAGATAAGACTATTGATCCGGTAATACTTGCCTTAGATTATCTGAAGGCTTTTATGGCTGAGGTCAGTTTTGCAGTAAAAGACCAAGTTTCATATAGCTTCCCAGTTGATCACTACTACTAGAACTTAGGTCTCTGCAATCCAGTATGTGCATATACTCTTGACACAAAAGTTTTACAAAACTATATTGTCGTACATTCAGGACATCTTCTGTTCTGTTTTTTGTGTTTCATTTAGTTGGGAGGAGGGAAGGCAGCAACTTATTAAATTGATTCCAGAATGTGCTACCACTGGCAGTTTGAAAACCACTGATCTATGAGTTGACAAACAGAAGAATGCATGCCAAGGGCAAGACACTAGATCACACAACTTAATAAAACAGCCTTGGTTAATGTCACTCAAAAGTCACTGCTGTTATGTTCTCCTATTCTGGTGTACTCCTTAGATATTCTTCCATAATACCCTTGACTTCAAACAAAAAAGATGGTAGGAGAACCTTGCAGGTGATGCTAGGAATATGGTATACCACTGGAAACCCTACAGACTGGAACTAATGCTGATCACTTATTTTCAACAAAGGAAGATAATGCAAAACTAATACCACTTCAGAGAGACATCTTGACTAAGGAAGACATGCATTTACTGGGACTAAACCAAATCAATATCCACATAAATGTGTATATTTTTCATTTCAACCTTTTAAAAAAAATTAAAGCAGAAATTTTTAAAAATGCATTCTTTTCTACAGTGATATTTTATTTTCTATTTTAACCCATGTTTTAATGCTGGTCATAACCCACTAAATTGATTTCTTGACCCACTAATGGATATGGTAAAACCTACAATTTGAAAAACACAGATTTAGAGAACACACAAATCAACCAGCAGGATCAAAGTAGTAGAAAAAAGTAGCAGACTCCATGGCCACCTCTTTCTTGCATGAGAAAAGACCCAAAGAACTGACCACGTCAGTCAAATAGTGATGTCTTATTTTTCTCTAGAAAGAGCATGAAAGAAAGTATAAGACTCTTAAAAGATCGACCTTCCATACGACCCAGCAATCCCCCTTCTGGGAATATTCCCGGAGGAACACAAATCACTCCATAAAATGATACCTGCACTCATTATGCTTATTGCAGCATTGTTCACAATAGCAAAAACATGGAGCCAACCATGCTGTCCATCGAAAGTTGCCTGGATAAAGAAAATGTGGTACATATACATGATGGAATATTACACAGCCATAAAGAAAAACAAAATCATGAACTTTGCAGTAACCTGGATGGACTTAGAGTCTATAATACTGAGTGATCTTTCACAGAAACAAAGAACTAAATATCACATGTTCTCACTCATAAGTGGACCCTGAACAACTATCGTAATACTATAAGAAAAGGATTGACAGTAGTGGGAAACTGCAGGGGCATGGGAGGGGAGTGGAGAGGTGGGATTGGCAGTAGTGGGAAAGTGCCTGGGGAAGGGGGGCACACCTTATCAACAAGAGTACCTGCACAATGAATATTTGTATACCTAACCCTGAATTGTGCCCCACAGTTTAAAAATAAATAAAAAAGGTTCAAATCTAAAAAAGAAAAAAGAAAAATAAAATTATGGGTTTCACAGCAATTTGGATGGATTTAGAGTCTATAATACTCAAAGATTTATCACAGAAACAAAGATCTGAGTGCTACATGTACTCACTCGTAAGTGGACTCTGAACATTCATCATAACATTATAAGAAAGGGATTGGCAGTAGTGGGATACTGCTAAGGGAAGGGGAAACACAAAATATCAATAAAGTTACCCAAACTTTACCTGTATGATGAGCACCTATGTACCTAACTCTGAATTGTACCACATATCTCTAAAATAAAAATAATGGGCCAGGCTCGGAGGCTTAGTCTGTAATCCCACTTTGGGAGGCCGAGGCAAGTGGAGTGCCTGAGCCCGGGAATTCGAGACCAACCCGGGCAACTTGGTGAGACCTCGTCTCTACAGTAAATTTTAAAAAACTCAGCCAGACATGATAGCACGCGACTGTAGTTCTGGCTACTTGGAAGGCTGAGGCAGAAGGATTGCCAGAGCCTAGCAGGTCGAGGCTGGGGTGGCCGTTGAGTGTGCCACTGTACTCCAGCCTGGACGACAGTGAAACTCCAACTCAAAAATAAAAAATAAAAATAATATATTTTTTAAAATACAAAAAAAAAAAAAAAAAGTTCAAGACTCAGATAGGATAAGAAAAATGTAACATGGCCAGGCTCAGTGGCTCAGCCTGTAATCCCACGCCCTGGGAGGCCGAGGTGAGAGAATTGCCTGAGCCTGCGGGTTCGAGACCTGCCTGGGCAACTTGGCGAGACCTCATATCTACAATAAAAATTTTTTAAAAATTAGCCGGGCGTGGTAGCGCGCGCCTGTAGTTCCAGCTACTTGGAAGGCTGAGGCGAAAGGATCGCCGGAGCCCAGCAGGTCGAGGCTGTGGTGGCCGGGAGTGGCCACTGCACTCCAGTCTGGGCAATAGCGTGAGACTCCAACTCAAAAAAAAAAAAAAGAAAGAAAAATGTAACAGTACATACCCCACTAAAAAAGTTCTGATCTGGCATTTAATAATCATCACCACTATCAACCTAACATTCAGTTTCTCAAGTATCCAAACCTGCACTAAGTATATATATATACAACTATATGTGTGTATATAAATTTTAATTACATAATAACACATTTATATTATTATTTTTTTCTAGGTCATTCTTAAAATCTATCATGATAACAAAGGAAGCATTAGATCTGAAACACAGGTCAGTTGACTCTGGAGTCAAAGTAAGCTCTTAACCACAAAGCTATAAACTCTTCCAAAAAGAAGGGTAGTTACCAAGAGTAGTTCCCAAGTAGTGACACATCAAAAACCTCTGTGGAGCTAAAACATAACAAATGGATACACATGTGCTATCCCAAAAAGAAAAATTAAAGTTGAAGTAGCAAATATTATAGAGAAATATATTTTGTCAACAATCCACTGGACACTATCTCAATACTATTAGGTCTGGGAATATCTTTCTGGAGAGTAGATACTATTCTGAGCCATCAGAGATAAATTCCTGGTCTAAGTGAATAACTGCCTTGGCTAATAAGCAGATCACTCTACCTTGGAAATTGATTAGATCACTGTCATTATGGACTAGAATTTAATGTAAAACAATTGTGTCTTAGCTTTAATAACTAAATCCCATTAAAAATTTAACTGCTGACAAGTCAAAAGAATCTTAGCATAAGGTAGTCCAATAAAAACTATAGACTACACCAGTGTAATTCTATTAAATTGATCTACCCGTGATTAAATATCTTCCTAATTTATCTTTATTACCACCTAAAAGATAGAGAATTCTGAACTTCATGTAATATAAATGAACTCAGCATTCTGAGTCAGTTCCTTTCCACTACCTTTTAAAAAAACATTTAATACCAAGCATACAGTATAAAAATTGAGATTTTCAAGATTAAAATAATTAAGAAACAGTTTTGACTACATCACTCAAAATTTTATGAACATAAAACCTCAAAGATTTTTGATGGCTAAGTGGGTATTATGAAGCCTAGAATTACCACTACTGGTAACTACAAGTTACAGCAAGACTATACACCACATATACATGAATGATTAACAGCATACAACTACAATATTAAATTTTAAAATTACTCATTTTCCTTTAAGTGAAAATTCTTAAAGGAAAATGAAAATTCTTAAAGAAGACAAAACTGTACTATAAAATAGCCCAAACATGAATTGTTTTGTTTGGTCAAGTTAATACCCTCAACCAAAAAATTGTTCCAACTATTTCCTCTTCAGGTTACCTACCATGAAATGACAGAGAACTAGTCTATGAAGTAAACCAGAAAGATAATTACAGACTAACACATGAATAATCCCTAAACTATTTGGTGAAAGAAATTACAGCACATTACTATTGAAACCTAGGGAAAATATTCACTCCAGTATCTTCCAAACCGTATGTCAAAAAGGAAAAAGAAACTTCAATCTTATGTTTTATTAACAAACAATACTACCATAAATCCATAACTACGTCTACAATCTTAATATTTAAGTCTCTTAAAATATGCAAGAATTCAATACAGAATCGTAAGTTTTATTTCATTCATGACCTTGGGGTCACTGGGAGATTTCTAAAGCATACCTTTTAATCCACGCCATGGTACTTCAAGAACATGTTAAGGTAAGTCACAGCTTGGAACACTTCGATGCACCTCAAAACACCTCAGCCAGTGTATCTGTATCATGCTCCTTTCGTTTTGAGATCATAATGGTTCCGAAGAACTACAATGCTTCCATCTGAATGATAGTCTCATAATTTCAATGACTTAAAAACAAAAACAAAAAATAAGGACTTAAGTGTTGGTATGTTCAGTCACTAGTGCACTGCAAAATGCTGCCGTGATTAAGAAAAACAAAAAAGCTGCTGCTGTTGCTACTATGGAACACTATCATCTTTAATGTGAACCCTCATTTGTATGGTAGGGCTAAGTTAGTAGTCAGAGTGACAGCCCTTGCTTTATCCAGATCTTTCCAGTAATACCCCACAAATCTCTATGCCCCAAAATGTTTCATCAGTTTCCTTCTCAAGGAATGAAAATAACCTAAAAGATCTGAAGGCTCCTAGGTGCCAGGTCCCCTCTGAATGACCATTATTCTACATTGTATTGAATGAGAAATGCATACCACCCACATACCTGTGTAAAGGGAATTAGCTAACAACAGACAGAGCCGGCGTTCCTTTAAACAATGCTCCTTCTGATGTTAATATTATGAATCATGTTAATTCCGTGGAAGTCATTAAATTGAAAAGAGCTCTGGTTACTAAAGCCTAACTTCTATAAATAGCATGCATATAAATGAACAGATAGATGACTAGCCTTCAAGTTTTACTGCTCCTCTGTGATTGCCTTGGCAGGTATCTGTCCCTCTTTCCTGCTCACCCCACCCACATTTCTTACATAAAAACACTAAAAATATTTTATTACTAAAATTACACAGTAAGAAGTAGATTTCAAATCTACTAAGAACTCACACTGCTTTTGCTACAAGTTTGACACTACTTAGTTACAAGCAAGAATGCTCAAACTATACAAAGTAAGTAAAACTAATTGATAACTTATCAGTAAACAGATCCATTTACTGTCACAAAGCAATTAAAATTACTTTAGGATGACTGATCAGGGAAAGGCTTAATAAAGGCAAGGTATAAAAAGGGCTTCCAAGGAAAGAAGTATAGATGAGAAAGGTTCTGTTACACTCTAGGCATGTGGAACAGCTTGTGTAAAGAATGGAAGATGACAGCCGGGCTCGCCTCTGGGAGGCTGAGGTGAGTGGATTGCCTGAGCCCGCAGGTTCGAGACCCACCTGGGCAGCGAGACCTCATCTCTACAATAAATCAAAAAATCAGCCGGGCAGTGCGTGCCTGTAATTCCGGCTACTCGGAAGCCTGAGGCAGAAGGATCGCTGGAGCCCAGCAGGCGAGGCTACGGTGGCCAGGAGCAGCCACTGCACTCCAGTCTGGGCAACCGAGTGAGACTCCAACTCAAAAAAAAAAAAAAAGAATGGAAGATGACAAAGTTTCCCACTAGGGCCAAAAAGTATGTGCTAAGGAGAAAGTGAAACTATTTCCTGTTTGAAAGGGTAGATTTAACTGATGAAAATATTTCAATCCACTGTCATAAAAATTACATATTTTAAAGATTTAGATTTATTGCAGTTGTGGGGAATGAAGATTACACAACGTAGGTTACTCTTCATAAAGCTGATAATGGTGGCAGAATTACATACAGGAAAAGTCTCTACCAGAGTAGGTGGGAAGAAACTAATGAAGAACAGAAACAAGGGAACCTGGTCCAATAAAATCCTTGCCTACAACCACAAGCATCTTTTCAAGCTGATGATTTTACCACATTAGTCCAACTCTCTGGCCCTTCCCTGCTCCTACTTAAAACCACTTGATGGCTCTGAATGTGCGCGAACACACACACACACACACACACACACACACACACACACACCCCCACACACCCCTCCTGGAAGAACATTACATTGTTTCCTACACTCTACTCCTCCGAATAAATGCACCCCCGACACACAGCCACTATGTTAATGCTCCTGAAGCATAGCTCCTCCCTTGCACAGAAAGAATAATGTTAATCACCAGGAAATAAATCAGGATGCAAATATGTTCGATAATAAAAAACAAAAGCCTATGTCTGAAGCTTTTAATCACTACCTCATTTAATTTTCATAACGCAGCCAGGTGCAGTGGTTCACACTTACAATGCCAGCACTTTGGGAGGCCGAGCAGAAGGATCACTTGAGAATTCAAGACCAGCCTGGACAACTCAGTAAGACCCTACCTAGCTCTACCAAAAAAAAAAAAAAATTAGGCATGATGGTGTGCTTATAGTCCCAGCCCAGCGACTCTGGGAGGACCGCGTGAGCCCAGGAGTTCAAGGCTACAGTGAGCTATAATCACATCACCATGTTCTAGCCTGGGTTATAGCAAGACACTCTCTCTTAAAAAAAAAAAAAAAAAAATCAGAACCCCATTACACAGAGAAAACCAAGACTCCAGTCAAGTGACTGACCCATGAAAATATATGTAGCAATATAAAAGAGCTAGAAATTAAATATAGATCTTCTAGCTGAAATTTTAGCATTTCTGTGGCAGAGAGGGTTTAGAAACAGTTAAAATTATTCCTTTTTAAAAATCAACCTGCAAGCTCCAAACCTGCTAGACATGGGACATGAGAAAAATAAATAGCCACAAGTGGCTTTCCTGGAAATGCAAGATAGTAACTGATTCACAACCTTATCCCCAACCTTATCCCTGCATCCTCTCTTTGTGAAGTGATCAGTTTACAAGCCCTGCTTGTCATGTATACCCTGGAGACAACTTGTTCTTTGAAAATCTGGTTTTGCTAAATACCACCTTGCAAATTCCAAAGAAAAATGCATAGCAGCCAGGCTCAGTGGCTCAGCCTGTAATCCCGCGCCTTGGGAGGCTGAGGTGAGTGGATTGTCTGAGCCCTGCGGGTTCGAGATCTGCCTGGGCAACTTGGTGAGACCTCATCTCTACAATAAATCAAAAAATTAGCCAGGCGTGGTAGCACGCGCCTGTAGTTCCAGCTACCTGGAAGGCTGAGGCGGAAGGATCACCGGAGCCCCAGCAAGTCTAGACTGCAGTGGCCAGGAGAGGTCACTGCACTCCATTCTGGGCGACAGAGTGAGACTTCAACTCAAAAAAAAGAAAAAGAAAAAGAAAACTGCATAGCTATACAACCCGAACCCCTTTCCTTACCTAAACTAACACATAAAACCCCTCTCCTCTTTCTCCAGGTTGCTCAGCCTTGGAGCATTAGCCCACTGAGTCATGCCAGCACTAAAAAAATGCTACTTCCTAAGATAGCCTTGGTGTGGCACAGTCATTCTATTTTCCCGCAACATTTCTTCTACTACAATATTGTAGAATATCATTGTGGGGGGTGGCATTGGCCCTAATATTTGTTAACAATATGCCAAGTACCATCCTAAGCACTTCGTGGCATTTTATTTCATCGTGATCTATTAATACCTCCTTCACAGGTGAGGAGACTGAGGCTCAGAGAGACTTAGGTAAGCGGTTCAACATCACATGTAAGAGAATGAAAAATGGCAGAACAGATATCTGCACAATGTCCAAACCAAACACCCATACTTGTATTGCTATATACCAATCTTTCTTTCAGGAGCAGTCAGAAGTCTAACATGTAAGCTTATTTCTCAACCTGGCTGATCTAGCAATAATCTAGTTAATTATATAAGCAATAATCTAAGTATACATAAATCTCACACAAAACCCAAATTTTATAACTCAAAACTACATAGACTATATTTAGGCTATGTTTTGGAAAGAAACTATATACACATTAACTAAAGCCACTAAGAATGACCAGAATCATAATCACTCAAATTAGAAAATTCATTTGACTCCTACAAATGAAACCCAGTTGTCTCATGAAGTTATGCATTTCATGAAGTTATGCACTTGGCAATCTTTTAAGGTTGGCTTAAATCACAGTAGTTACCAATATACATTTTCATTGACAAAATAAAAATGATCATGAAAGAGATTTTCTTTAACAGGATGCACTGCCAAAATTTCCCAACCTGGTCATAGTTTCATGGTGCTAACCATTCAGTCAGGTTATCCGTGAAAATAGAGAAAAGCGAGTGGACAGCTCTCTACAATGCCTCAAACATGGTTAAACTTAAGAATAACAAAAAGCAATGACAAAAAAGTCTCCCAGCCAGGCTCGGTGGCTCAGCCTGTAATCCCGCGCCTTTGGGAGGCTGAGGTGAGTGGATTGCCTGAGCCCGCGGGTTCGAGACCCGCCTGGGCGGCGAGACCTCATCTCTACAATAAATAAAAAAATCAGCCGGGTGTGGTAGCGCATGCCTGTAATTCCGGCTACTCGGAAGGCTGAGGCGGAAGGATCACCGGAGCCCAGCAGGTCGAGGCTGCGGTGGCCGGAAGCGGCCACTGCACTCCAGTCTGGGTGACAGAGTGAGACTCCGACTCAAAAAAAAAAGTCTCCCAAGCTAAGGACTGGAAACTCCTAAGCAACTTCAAGATTTGAATGGAATCCATGCATTCACATAGCAAGCACTCCAAAACTAACAGCAGAAGTGATAAACTCAACTACTATGTCAATGGTTGGTTAACAAGATAAATAAGTGAAACATCCATTTGATACCATGTTTTAAATTGCGAAACAAATAACCTTGCAGAATTTCTACATTTGAGGGTTCAAAAACTGTTACAATAAGAAACTTAAATGGTAGTTTTTAAAACATCTTTACCAAGAACACCCTATCTTCACCAATACTCTTCTGTATAGTCCACCGAAAAACATTAATGTCCAAAACAGTGGATTATAATAGGAATGCCCACCAGGAATTCTGACACACAACTACATCTCTTTTTTACACAAGTAATATATTAAAAACACTACACGTGTCTACAAAACATTGCACTTTATAAAAATTATTCATATGCCAGTTATTCCGGCATACTTTCACTATGCTGAGGTCCAAAGGGTATAACTCTTGTCTTTCTGTAAATGTTATTTAACTACTGAAGCCTGGAACACAGTAGGCACCAAATGTGTGAAAATGTTATACTTCTCACTTTGAATACATGATTGACAGCTAAATATAAAAAGTCTATGATGGCAGGAGTGTCTGAGGTGCTTTAAAACATAGCAGGCACACAAATATTTGTTGGATAAGTTCCCATCTTGGCAGGAAAACTGTAGTTACTTTTCCAATTAAACAAGG